GTCCAACACCTGATTCAATTTTTACATGTTTACTGAGAACCTTGTACGCCTCTATCGAACCCCTATCTATCAGAAGTAGGAAAACTGCTGGCCGCGATTTACCGTTTTTTCCTACATCTGGAGCTGCGCTTTCCAAACCTATGGGAACATTCAAAATAATGTCAGTGCCTTACCAATGGTAAAATTGAGAATCGTCATGACCTACGGCAGAATGTACCTCAGAAGACACCAGTGCCTGCACCCAGAATTTGATGGGAACGATGCGAGTTCATGGAGTTGATACCCTTGCCGTTTTTGCTTCTTTCATTGCGTCCGACTTATGAGATTAGCATGTACAGCACAAATAGCTGCTAAAGTGCATCCGTAGCGCCCATACTTGAGCGTCCACCAGCGTTTTCAGCGGCGATTGATATCTGCCAGTTTCTTAGCTGCTTGAAACGCTCTAAACCTAGCAAGCGACCAAAACGTTTGCAGACGCCCAGAGTACCTATAGTTTCCTGGTCATTCAAAGTGCTGATGCAAAGCATAAACGCGCTCTCACACCAGCTCTTCAAAGCACCACTTTGAACCAATTCTTTATACGACGGGACGACGAAAGCGTTCTTCCGCATTGCATTTCTCAACATGCAAACGAAAGCCTTCAGAATAACTCAACAAAACCCGTACAGTAAGAGTGCCGGGGGTATTTCTTTGGGATCACTCCATGATTTTTGAAAACAGCTGAGTTGAGACACTGGCACCTCGACTGTGCACATGCTGCTTATACATACAGAAAGCAAAATCGCTCCGTTAATTCCAAAAGCGAGGTAGCCTGACGTGGTAAATCATTAGTGCTGTTATGGAATTCTCAGTGGATGGCTCAATAGGGAACTGTTCCTGTTGTTAGGCCGCCCTCGTTGCCCTTCTCAGTGAAATTAACTCTCGATCTTTCTCCTCAATTCATTGTAGGCTGTAAAGTCGCACTTTACAATACTCCTTAGTCCCCTTTGCAACTGCTAAACGATTTCTTCTTGGTCAAATGAAAATCACGTGGGAACTACTTCATTTTACGACTATCATCGTTACCAGTCGAAACCTGGGCCTGATCTGTCAAAAAATCGTCCCAGAGTCAGCTTGACCACCTGAACACTAATCCCACGCACCTGGCGCCCACCTTAACAAGCCTGAGGACGCCGCCCTGGGGACAATTTTAATTTCCGAATTTCTTTGTCCGCTCATTACTCGCTTGTAGCCATTTCGGTTTCTTGATTCTTAACAACCATACCACACACTATCTACAATACCTAGGTCTCCCCTCAACGTTTTGTTATTCCCATGTTAATCCTCTTTCCTAACGGCATACAAGAAAAAACAAAAAAAGCTGTGCAAACAATGAACTGACTTTCCTTTGGAAATATTGTTTTGGTGTCGGAAAGCAAAGGCGATGCCCACTATCTACTTACCAAACCAGAGAACAAACTAACTCAGAAAATGACCATTAAAAAAAAGTCTAACCTGTTCCTCAAATGTGAAGGTTATGTTGGCGCTGGCATTGCCCACTGGTGGAGCGGTGGTGGTCTGGTCCGCCATGCTGACCCAAGATTTGGATGTACTGAAAGTACGTGCTTATATAAAACCTAACCAAGGACTGCAAATTCACGAGAGCTGGCTGGCTCTCGCATGGACACGTGTAGTACGCGTGGCCACTCGCTCCGCCCCTCAA